AGCTTGTAATTATAAATCCGGGAGGCGGAGGGGGGGGGCGCCCGGAGAGGGGGGGGGGGGGGGGGGAGGGGAGGGGAGAGGAGAGGAGAGGAGAGGAGAGGAGAGAAGAGAAGAGAGAAAAAAAACATGATAATTGACAAGGAAGAGTTCATCTCTTTCTTTTCCTTTGACGTACCTTTTGAAAAGCTGCCTGAATGACAGATGTTGCCAGACCTAGTGGCAGAGAGTCCCGCAAGTCCTTATGTACAGGGTCAAGAACTACATTCTTTTTTTCCACTCTGGATCTGGAAAAGACCTGCTCTGTCCATTCAATTTATCTGGACTTACGCTGCGGCATCATTCTACTAAGTTTCTCTTGACTTCTGCGATTTTATATAGTTCTTGATGTTCGTAATTTTTTTAAAGTTTTGCATTTTACACTGGGTTTTAAGCTTCGCATTTTGCAATTGTACCATTTACGGGTGCATTTTGCAGTATTGGATCTCACCGGAGGATTACTTGTCATCAAACTAGGCTATAAATAAAATCAAATAAATATTGCATGCATGATGATCATCAGATTTACTCTTCAGTCTCTTCTACTGGCTTTGAAACATGCATAGGTCAACCTCTGTGGGTTAAAGAGTTTGGTTTTTTTTAATTAAGCGCCTTATTTAGAACAGAATTAAAAACAAACTCGCAGCAGGTTGACTTTTGTTCCTGAATGATTTTTGGAATCTGTGCAACGTTGGAGAGAAGAAGGGTCTAGCCAAAGGCAATTTTCAATTATGGCATCATGTGCCTTCTACAGCCCTTCAAAACAGGACTTACTGCATTCGCCCGAAATTCCTCCTTGTGGAAAAACCCTCCAGTCATCATCTTCTTACTGAAAGTCAGGATGTCGGCTGGGTCCTCGAGCCCCCAGTGTTCGTGGGCCCAGAATTTGCCGGTACATCCACCTCCCGTTTGTACCTCGTCTATCAAGAAACCGCAGCCGTGCTGTTGAGAAAGCATGGATGAAGTTAGTCTCTTTAGGAGAAGAGCTGGGACCTCTTTAGGAGAAAGGAAGGAGGGAAAAACAGCCTTGCTTGGCCTCTTTAAGGAATGCATGAGCTGATAATTCTCAGAGGAAGAGACTGGAAAGATCTGTAAATACGGCGGTCAAGTTGCATCGCTGGTCTCAGTGGGTGTGCAGCCTTCGGAAAGTCACTCCACATGTTCATCACCAAGTCATGTTTTGTATTAATTATGGTTTGTTTAGATTGGGCAGCAGGTTAATTAATTTAATTTAACTCTGGGCGGCTCACAACCCAAAGTTAAGCCAGACTTCTGCAAGGAGAGTTGTCTTCTAGATGTCTGGATCTGTAGAATTCCCCAGCCAGCAAGACCATGGTTGATGGCTGGAAGTCATTCAGGTTGTGCAAGGCTGAGTTATGCCACAAATCATACTTTGTAAGTGACAACGGTTGGGGTGGTGCATGGTGCAAGCCGAAACTAAACAAGTCATGTTACGGTTCAGCCTGGAGCATGAAATCAGGCATTCTTTCTGCCTGACATATAAAATAAAACAGATATTTTGTCAAATACAGATCTCGATATCTAAGAGGCAACAGTTGGAAATTAGTGGGAACAAGTTTCCACCTCCCAGATCTATCCACTGCTTGTCTGAATGGTACTATTTTACCAAAAAACAAAAAAGCTTTAAATAGCAAGCCCAGCACGAACCTGCTGAGTTGGAAATTATCATGACATCAGGTTCTTGCTGCTTAAGCCTAAACAGACATCTTTTGCTTTAGAATAGGAGCTAAATCCAGACATTCACTTTCACGGGATTTTCCCAGATCAGCTTGGAAGTGACTACTCAAAGATTAGAAAGACACATCGCTCAGGAGAGAAATCTTATGTTTAGAAAATGTCCCATTTATGTCAGAGCTCACCTTTTTAGCAATGTTTCTCAACTTCCTGAAAAAGTCGTCTGACGCGTGATTGTCCCCCCCTTCGGACTGAATGGGTTCCACAATGATTCCTGCAACAACTTTATTCTTTTTCCTGTATTTTACAATCAAATCTTCCACCTGTATGTTAGAACATAGTAAGATTTTTTTTTTAAAGAAACAAATCATTGATATGCAACCAGTCATTGATATTATTTCTCTTATTCCAATTCATTGCAACCATGTATTACATTTCAGGGAACAATCAAGAGGAAGAATTTATGTTGTTTTTGCACCATTGAACAACCTTCTTCAAAACAGAGTCCTCCAGTTGTATGCAATCTTTCCCATGTGGGCTGGGAATTATGGGAGCTGAAGTCTCACACATCTGGAAGGATCCCAGGCTGGAGAAAGAGGATCATGGGCCAATTTGTTAATAAAACCTGTTATAATCCGGTATTAAATAAAAGAGTCCCATCGAAGGCATAAACCGCTTGTTAAAGCTAATGAGGATATACATGAAATAAATTAAACAGATTAAGAAGAAATGTGACTGATATCAATACAGGCCAAAGATATGATTAAGAGTGGTGGTTTATCCAAAGCAACCACTCTGAAAACAGAAAGCCAACCAATTCTAACTGGAAAATGCCCATTTCTTTGCGGGCTTCCACCAAATTCTAATTGGATGGATTCATTCCTGCTTTGGCCTTCTTTAAAAAAGCGTTAACCGTGGTGCATTTTGAAGATGTTGTTCTCTTCAGCTTGAGTTCCAGCCTCCAGTCCTAACGGAAGTATCCTTCACCCCTTCGTGGCGACCCTGTACCTGCTCAGACACAGCAAAAGCCCATCTCGTTCCTTGCTTGCCAGCAAAAAATCAGGCCAGCCAGAACAGCCGGCTTGTTTTTTGCTAGCAATCGCCAATTATCGTTTGAGAGCAGACTAGCTACAGCCTGTGGCAGGGACTGAATTAAAGCATCAGTTTTTTTCTTTTGCCACCCTCTATTTGAATTTGTAAAAAAAAATTTAAAAAAAATCTGGCAATCAAGTTATTTCAGTTAACGTCACTGGCCGTGCGGTGCAGATGACTCTGGTGTCTTTTAGTGCTGCTGGTGGACAGATGTGGGTATAGGCCCTATATCAGTCCCTTCAAAGGGACAGTCATTCCACCGCTTTAATGAGGGGCCAAGCAAACAAACGCGATGCATTTGCCTGATTGCCATCCTGACATTTCTACTGCAGGACCCTAGTTTTGGGCCACTGCTTGCATTACAAGACAGCAAGCTGATTAAAGTTAACTTGGTTTGGTCAGGATCCAGCTAAGCCAAAACAGAGATGTTTGGGGAGCATTTTCTCTCTTCCAGGAAATACGAAAGTTGGATGCCCCTTGCTGTCCTCCTCCCTGGCCTTACGCTTGATCCTTCTGTGCTGGTTTAATTGAGGAAAACAAGCACTTTACATTTGCAGGCCTCTGCTGCCCCAGGCACCTTCTGCAGCTGGGGTGTCCTCACCTCCTCCAAGCAGCGCGCCTCCTCCTGCTCGTTTTCTCTCACAAAGTCTTCCAAGGGGTACTTTAGCCTCGGGAATGGAGCGATGGGCCAGTCAAAGGAAGGGATGTCCAGCTTGTGAATGGCTTTGGAATGCGTAGTGGCTAAGCAGCCTAAACAAAGAGGAACAAAACCATGAACACCAGAGGAAGCCTTCAAAGATACCACCTCCTCCTGGCCAAATAACATCCAGCAGAAAAATGCTTGCTCATGTTGACGGGACAGCGTTGGTTTTCCAAGCTCCTTTCCCTCAAATCAAATCGATCAATACAATTTAGGGCTGCCCACCCTTGGAAGGAGCACTTCAGGCCAGGTTCGCACAAGGTGCAAGTGGAGCTCCTCTGCTTTTCATGAAAGCAGCTTGTCCTTTTGCAGAGTTCCGTGTGAGCCTGAAAAAGACGGTGCCGCTTTAATGAGTCACGCATTAAAGCAGCAGGCTTTCCCACGTGCCTCTTAAAATAGCTGTGTCCCTTTTCAGGGACAAGCACTCATGCGGGGTTCAAAGCATGTCCTCTGAGTAATTTTTTAATGCAATCACTGATCAGAGCAAAGGAGAAGAGAATTTCGAGGAAATTCTCCAGGGTGGATCAGGGCATCCCTGTACTTATTTTATGACGAGGTGGCCAAGAAGGTGTGTGTGACCATCCTGGCTTTCATTGTACAACTATCCTTCCAACGCTTTATGTCTTCCTCGGCTTCCCTGCTTCTGTTAAATGTCAAGTGAAGAAATCAAGAGCGAATGCCTTCCAGAAGCCTTTTTCAGACTGTCAGAACAGCCCAGGGGGCTACAAAATCCTGGAATGACGTGACACAGGAAACAACCTCCCAGCCCAGCCGCTTCCACCCATCAAGTCTGCTTCAAAAGATCCCCAAAAGAAATGCGAAAGAAACAAATTAAAAAACCAACCAAGCAGCCAACAAAAACCCAAACTTTTTTCACACTTGAGAAATTGTAGGAAGATGGGTAGGAAGAAAGGAAAGAAATCCCATGGAATGAACTGGAATCAGATGCAAACAATGGGAAGGGAAGAGAAGGGAAGAGGTATAATACAAAGGAAAAGAATCAGATTGGAAGGGACTATCTAGAACAGTGTTTCTCAAACTCGGCCGCTTTAAGAGGTGTGGACTTCAACT